TTCAATGCATATCACACTAATTCATAAAGCAAGTTCGACATTTTGATGTTCCGGACCTTTGCATGGGGAGATTTTCTCTAACTGGACCTCGTTGAATTTTAGTTGAATAGTCCTGATTTAGACAAAAGTTAAACAAGTACAAACCACAGACTCTCTGTGTCATGGCAAATATAGCCGCTGGTTTATTTATGTCTGTATGGGCCGTTGTTGTGAGTGTGGACGGTCGGAGCATATACTGCGTTAGCTTAGCCTATCTCCATTCAGAAAACACGCATTTTAAAAGGTTTTTCTCCTGCCGTCTGTCTGCAGACTTGTCAAAGCATTAATTCATGGTTTTCACTAACTGGTATCAGTATGTTGTTACTTCGGCATCATTTAGAAACGTGTATTACAATTAAACCACGGTCAAATATGTTCATTTTGTTGTAGTTGTAGCCCCACTGCCAGCTATTCTCTCACTAGTTTAGCATACTCAGCCCGGTTGTTGGCCCGGGAAGAACCTCGATTTTGGAGAGCCAGAAAACTGTGAAAAAGTACCCGTTAGCCGGAACTACGTCTAGAGGAAATGCAACCAAAAACAGGCCGGGCACAGCACGCTTAAACCGCGCTCCACGCTGTAGTGGAAATGCGCCATTATACAAGACACTACCACAGTGACATTTAATGATTAAGTATTTGTTGTCCTCTGATTAGACCGTCTTCACAGGTGGATGTAGTATTTCTGTCTGACTTACTCTGACCATATTTGTGTCTCTGCCCCAACAGGAAGCCATGAGGGAACCAAGTACATGTTCAGCTCCAGAGGACTGTTCGCTGTTCCCTTCGGCAGGACAACCAAACCAGCACACATAGCCAAAATCAAAATGAAGTTCCGATTCTTAGGAAAGCTGATGGCCAAAGCCATAATGGACTTCAGATTGGTAATGACCTCCTCTGTTTTGTGCTTATATCTCTGTTAAAACACTCGTATTTATAACCCAACACTGGTATTTAGGATTGCTCTTCTGAAAGAGGTTAATTGACCTAACGTTAGCTTGTTCTAGTTTGATCTTTCATGCATATTCATTTGTGTACATATGTCCTTGATTGTCCTCGAGATATGACTGTTTCCCCCCTTTCCCAAAATGTACTTTTTTGTTTCTCACTCAAACTGACTTTCTGAACCCCTCCCAGCTGGACCTTCCTCTCGGGCTGCCCTTCTATAAGTGGATGCTGCGGCACGAGATGTCCATCAGCTCCCACGACCTGGTGAACATCGACCCCGGGGTGGCCAAGTCCATCCAGCACCTGGAGGACATCATCCGCCAGAAGAAGCGGCTGGAGCAGGACCGGTCACAGGTGAAGCCCCAACAACCATCACATCTGAACAGAAAATCAATCAGAGGACTGAGGATTTAGTGCGCTGGTACCAGACGTTTCTAAAAGCAGGGTTCCCGGGGGAAATACACTTTTTGATGTATTTTATACATAAATATGTGTCCCCGGTGTGTCGGGGAACTCACGCAGCGTCAGAAAATAAAACCCTCTCTCTTTTCCTCCGTACCCAAATCTCTAAAAACGGGGCTGCAACGGAGCTGATCCAGATTTGCATCCGATATGACGTAATATCTGAAAAGTGGACCCACGGCCCTATCAGAAACGTTGCTATCAGAAACAATGCCCGACTGTTTTGGACGTAATATGGTCGGTGTTTACATTAGCATCGCTAACACTCAGAGCTAACCTGTACTGGAGAGCATGTGTGTGAAGAAGCAGGAAGTAAAAAGGAACTCACCTTGTGGTATAACCGGCAAGAGAGAAAGCCTTTGAGCTCCATACTGTTTCAGAAATAATCCTT